AATTCAATTTAAGCGATTTCCGTTATACGTATCCGGATACTGATCTGACTTCTCACCTCTTTACGCGCGTGCACGCGTGCATTTGCGTTGGTTACAGCTCAATTATTTCACCGTAACCTCTGACTGTTCGAGCGTTAAGCGAATTCACACGTACCGACAAACAGGGACGTAATGGTGAAGTGGTGCTGATCTCGAAAGCGTTATATGATTTTATGAGCTGTTCGTACATAGCTCGATCGATTATCTAATACAGAAATTAGAATTATCGATGTCTTCTGTGCAATGTTCTGCGTTAGATTTAAATTAATAAGTGCGATGTACAAGCATATAAATAGATTTTGTCGATGGAAATGAAGATGAGCACATCATGATAAACCGATAAACGTGTACTGTCACGCGGTGGAATTTTTAACGTGGTGGATATTAATGCTTCTACCTCGTGTCTTAGCAATAAGACCAAAGAAACCTCAACACAAAACCCGTTATATTCGCAACATGTTCATGAAAATTCAATGGGCTGTAACAACGTGGGCGTACAGTAATAAAGCTGGACTGTGTAACGACACTGCCATTAAATGGCATTGCGGTCGTGAATACTGTGCCGCCTGTGTGATATGAGACCAGGTCATTATTCGAATTAAATTAATGCAACCGGGCTTTCTCGATGTAAGAAAACGTATGATTATTTTCCCATAATTACGTCATAAAAGATGACACCGCGCTGTGTCACGGTAGATTCATACATGATCGCGAAACCGTAGCAGGGTTTTGCAAGTTAATGACATTCCGTGTAATCGATTACTCAGCATATCGCGGGACGTTTAATCAGGTGAGGTGACTCAACGATCCACGATGAAAATTATTAATCTCTTTATATAAAGGCTTCACCCGTCGTAGATCTCGGTCTTAAATATCGCCGTTATTAAATTAATATAACACTCGTAATAGTTATCTAAATGTTATATGTAAAACTCCAAATTGAAGGGTGGATATTTGAAATTAATATTGATACTCAGTGATTTCTAATTTAATTTCTAACGATTTTGTATTCAAAAATAATCTCCGAATTAATATTTCTACTACTTTATAACTTTCCGTTTTTAATACATTTACTTTATTCGATCTATCACTTATTATTTAATATCTTTCACAATTATTGTTAGAAAAATTGTGAAATTGAGAAATAACATTTTTCACGTCACATATAAGTTAAGACGAGAGAATTCTGATTTTGTAGCGGAAATTTGTCGACTTACTTCGACTAATAGAGAGGCGCACGAGATTTCCGTGTAACCGTTAATTAAGATATCAATCTGCGCGCTGCAAAATATAGGCCGGCAATAGGTGGGCGCCCGACAGATACGATCTGGAAACTCGGCCACATCTTTTCAAAGACGTCGTGCTGTGGAGCAAAACGAAAGACATCGATTCGCCGTGGCAGCGCATACATGCACCACTGCAATTCCGGTAGTACGCCGTGGCAGAGAGACCGGGGGGGGGGGGGATAATAAATATCGCTTTGCAATCCGCGTAGTTTCAGAGACTGTATTGTGCAAACTATTCGCGCAGGCGTGTCGGGCGAGCACCAACGTGATCGACATTCCAAGCCCGAAACGAAATTGGGCCCCTCGGCCCCGATGCCGTTAGGCAAGGTACGACAGTATCTCGGGTATTTCTGCAAAATGCGTTTGCGATTACCGCACCACTCGGTACTGCGAATCGCAGGATTCCTGCATCGTGACTCCTTATTACATTCGGCATTCTCGACGTTACGGCAACTCTGCCAACGTCGTGTCGCCTGCAAGCGAGTTTGCGCATTGCCCAGTGCAAAGGTGACCTCGAGACTGGCACTCTTTTCCCGAAATAGCATACTTCCGGAGCAGAGAGAGTCCGGGAGAGTTCGCTCACAGAAGAAGCTTATCGCGTTGTAGAAGGTAGAAGTTACTTTTGCATATTCTTGCGCCGCGACAAGAGAACTGCAGTAATGCACAGGAATAGAGAATGAGCATCATAAATCTTACGCCGGGTGACTTTTTCGGCTTTTATTTCTTAATCTAACAGGAGAACATGTATGTATCTCGTATATACATTACGTAATCTTCTTTTGTTTGATTTTATGATTACATCGGTAAAATATTGACATACATTCTTTTTAAAGCACGTCTGTCAAACTATATTCTGCTTTTCCAGTTTGTTCTGACGTAACTTACTTTATCGCGATTACATCCGGAGTATTATTGGCGGGATGTAGATTGATTTATTCCAGACGACTTTAGCGTACGATCAGTAATGTAACAGAACTATTTTCAGAACGTTTTAAATTATACGAATATAGACATTTTTATTATCGATCTGATTTTACATGTTTTCTTTTTTTTTTTCATGACACTTTCTCGTAAATCTGAAAAAAGATAATTTAAACCTATAATTAGGTGTAAGAAAAATTGGAATTCTGTCTCTGAATATGCTCATCTTTGTTATAAGGATAATTATCTATTCTACTTGCGACGTCAGAGTATTTCGATTCTCGACTACAAACTTCATTCCTTGTAATATATATATAATGACATTTGAGTTCTGAATATAATTACGTAACTTCCACGAGCTATCTGTAAGCCACCACGATTGACGATCAGGATGTGCTTTCGCAAACTCAATCTGATTACGTAGACAATAGTTACTCGGTTCTGTCAAATGTGCTCATCGAATCGTAACTTTTCTATACGTCTAAGAATTATAACGGCGTAATATATCATGGTCGAACGAAGAAAACGTACGTGCTAGAATATGTGCTATCGAGCTTATGTTCTTTCTAGTTGGCGGAAACAGAGTGCCTTACGCGAGAACACTAATCCTAAAATACACGTGTCATCGTTGTCTGTCATTTACGGAAAACGCACACGCAAGCGGACGGATTTGAAAATGCGAGGGAAGCACGCGATAGAGCACGTTTTCCGTATCGCGGCGTTGCTCTAAGCAACATTTCTCTCCCGAAACTGCCTAGAATCTCCACAAAATTCGCCGACGCGGTTGTGAACTTCTGCCATAATGGATGGCGTCGCAATTTCTCACGACTATTGCCACGAAGGCGGATTAATTTACGCGTTTCTCGCGACCATTCGTTCCATTTGAGCGAATTATCAAGCGGAGGTACGAAAATTCTCATTACAAGCGCAATTATCCTCTTTTACCCACTGTTGTTTTTTTTCTTTCTTCTCTCATTTTTACGAAGTTCATGAAACTAGTGCGTGCGGCACTCGGTCACTCGTTCACCGAATTAACGCTCCATTATGTAAAGCGGCGAATTTCCACACGCCGTTGCTACACGGCTCTCGCAATTACGCAAAGTACACCGCGTATCAACTAGATATTCCTCGCTGTTATAAAACGCCATTTCGGGTGTTGGCACGTTCATTCTGAAATACAGATTTTAAAATTTGCATGGGCGTGCATGCAAAGCCACCAGGTAGGAAGCGAGGAACTTGCTATTTAAGTCCAACCTATTTTCCCGCACGCATACGATGAACGAATAATGTATAGGAACAGCTAGCAGGTACTCCGAGGTCCTTCTAGAACTTGATTACAACGGTGAAGAGAACTGCTTTTCTCACTTGCAATAATATATCAGGCGTCAACAATAGAAGTAAGTCGTAGAAGTAAAGAAGAGCAAATGCGATTGAGACTTTATCTTGGTGTCCAATAATATTTTATGAAATGATAATTTAAAGTGTCAATTTAATAATTGAACGGTTTTGCTCAAGTATTTAAAAATTTAGCTAGATCTGAAAATCATTTTATTGGATTTTAAAATAATGATGTAAGAGTCCTCAAACTAGTTGCTAAAATGTTAAAACATTTTACAGCATATTGCTCATCCTGTTTGAGTTTTTTTATATGATAATTTTGGTGATTCAACAAAACTGTTTTCAGAACTAAATCTACTTAAAAATTTAAATACTTCGGCAAAATCATTCCTCTCATGCAATGTATAAATATATAAAGCATCTCAAAAATGAACTTATAAAAAATATTATACCAACTAAATTTGAAATTTGAAATTTCCCGATTTATTTCGAATTAGAATAGGTACGTAAAAAAAATTGCAATTGAATTTTAATTAAAAAAAGATACAGTTATATTTTTAAATAATCGGAACACATGCAAAATAGAAGTACGTGAATTTGAAAAATTTAACTGTTTCGATTATAAATGTTCGAATGAAATTAGAGTGGCACAGATTTCGGCGATTGTCATTTCATTAAGACAGATTGAATGTTATTTTGCGTTATATATAAGAACCTTATTATTCTTTATTATGGAAACATTAGACCATTGAGGCGACGGATGAAGTAATTAAGGGAACCGTTAACTGCAAAATCCGATTTATCTACGACGATTGGCTTCGAAGTTTGGCAACGAGGTAAATGTTCCCGGAGTTTCAATCAGCCCTCCTTAGAACTGGTATTTTGCAGTCCTAAGACGTTCAGAATGCGATTATGATAAATTCTTGACTAAAAGTCACTGAAGTACCCAAATCCTCTTTCGATAATAATTGAAAGAAAGTGGGAAGAAGGATAGTTTTTTTTACACTATGACAGTACACTATAGATTACTATATCACGGTAGCTTGCATTTCAGAGGCATTGAAATTGCGATTTGCATGTAAAACGAAATGCGTTTTTTTTTCTCATATTTACGAGAGGATGATACTTCAATATTCCTTGCTGAAATATCCGATATTCTGCTAATATTCACTTTTTTTTTATTTGACAATTATGAAAGCTTTATACGTAAGTTTGATGAGAACGAGTCGGCAAAGGTATCATAATTAGAGTGCTACGCATTCATATATGTAAATGCAAAAAGATGTACCATTTATATATGTAAATGTAAAACTGTTGTACCATTAACATAATTTTTTGCGGATAATATTTAAATAATATATTTTGAGTATTTTTTAAATTTTCCTTTACTAATGCTACTTTTTCTCTGCATTGCAGATGATTATTTGGACCATGTTTGAACGGAGCTGCGAACAGGTACGTTGAAGTTTTATTCGAACTTATTAGAACGTTTCAAAAACGTATTCTCGTATGAAATTTATAACGATATGGGGCTTTGGTTGGTGAATGTAATGCAATATTGGTGCACCTACTGTATTACCATACAATAATACCGGAAGTATTGCCAACAATATGCCGCAATATGCACACGTCGCTTACTTTTCGATTTCCGTTGAAAAAAAAATTGAAATGCAATTCTCCTTTATGACGTTATATGCGCGTATTGTCGTCAATGTAAACCGTTCAACGTGACGGGCCCTATTTGTCCCGGGAATATTTTCGTTGTTTGGCAAAATGTAATTTCCTTGCGGCAAGGGCCACGGCGCTTTGGAAAAGAAACAAAAAAAGCGAAATATCGAATGCGAATAATTCAAATGTCATTTCTCAGTCGGATTTGTCGGTCCGGTGCCCGCATACTGCCAGACAATATATTCGATAAAGTGCCGAAAGCAATCGCCGTCACCTATTCGGCGTAAAAAAAAAGCTTATTTATGGAGTATTCGTCGATATCCGGCCTAACTTTGATTGTCACCTCAGCACTCTTATATTGTCACAGTCCCTGTCGTTTCCTATTGTGATGGACATAGACGATGATCCATATCGTTCAGATTGTTAACTAGTATTCCTCATGGATTTGGCACGTTCGCTTTCGTGAAAATATTTCCGCTTCGTGCAGAAGAATGCATCTGTCCATCCGAAATTATATCTTGCGATACATCGCGATGGTATCTCGCATCAGCAAAACAACCACGGTGCTGCTGCTGGTGATTTAATTAAATTGTCTGTTTTCCGGTAACATGTAATTGAAATGCAACTTTTAGAACGTCAATATACAACAAATGTATATGTACATTTGTGCACATGTAGAAATATATTCTCCACAGCCGCGAGAGAGAAAATATCGTTGAAACACGCAGCTTCGTTTGAACAGAATAACTATTAGCTTCCGCTTTGGCTTTCCGCATTTTATTTTATGATTTTTGTTTGTATTTAAAAATTTGCAATTCTGAAACTTGTGCACATATCTGCGCGGTTTAACATTAAATAATAAACAGGGCTTGCCGCGCACAATAGCATTCATTTCATTTTTTAACCGTAAGTTTATTTATGTAAGGGTGAGGATTTCTATACGTATATATAAGTTTGAGTTCTACATTAGGTATTTTCCATTTTTTAAATCTTTTATTTGACAATATTTGCCATCGATAAAGCAGGCTTGTAAATTTAGCTTGAAAATTTCGGTCTGGATTCGTTAATCAATAAATGG